AATTTTTTAGACGAATTTTTAAATCTTTGTATAATTTGCGTGCATTTCTTTGTATAAAGCTCCATACGAAAGAGTATTATCAATTTCATTAATTTCTACTTATTATAATCCGATGAACTTCTTGCAAGTGTATATTTTATTTGATTCTAGATTCCCTATTTTTGAATGCTTCAGAAACGAAGTAAGTAATCCATATTTTAAATAGAAGCTTCTTTGCTCTTTTCGGCCAACTACCTTGCTGTTTAAAAATGTTTGAACTTGCTATTAAAAGTAGTATGTCATCCATAAAGATAAGCCTGTACTAGAAATAGTGAAGAAATTAAATAATTCTTTTTGTTTCTTTCCTCCCCCAGACAAGATTGTTAAGGGCTATTTTGCTTATTTTGGCTAGTGAAAGGGTGTTGGAACCCAAAAAATCTTCAAAATCTGGGAATTTCGGATTTTTGAATTATCAAATTCTCTACACTTACTTACACCGCTTATCTGAAGGCGAAATCAAGTTTTTTCTAAAAATACCATGTTTTAACTTCTATGAAAATTAGAACTGTAAAAAATCTAGTTTTAATTTGACATCGAATGCTTTGATAAATGCAAAAATCCTCATGAGGATTTTTACATAAAAATGCGTTTTTCTCCAAACGTGATTTTTTTTATTATACTCAATGTACCTTTTCTCACGAACTGCTGCTCACAGTTATCTAAAATTTTTTATGGCTTATTTATTAAGTTTCCTAATATTTATTGAAATGAGCTTTTTGTGATAAACTAAGAAAAAAAATTGTGTGTGTGTGTGTATGAGAAAAGTGCTAAATTTTACTAAAGTATTCTGTAAATTACTCTAAAATTCAAAATGTTTCAAAAGCTCATTTAAGTATAATCAGATAGGTATACTTTAATTACACAAAAATTTCAAGCGTGTATCTACAGCAGCTTCTGAGAAAAGGTATATCGAAAATGACCAATTTAACATTGTCGGTATACAGGTTTCTAACACCCCTGTAATATAAGATCTTTGCCTCTTAACCTCAAAATTCAGTCATTAAAGGCACAAAGCAATTTTACATTATACAGTACTTCATATTCAATAAAAATCGTTGTTTTTTTAATAAAATTGGAAAACGATCGCTCTGTAAAGAATATAAAGATGTCTTAAAACTAAATATCGAATATTTTTAGAGAATTTCTTGACTTGGAAATATTTTGTAAAATAGGCCATATGATACGAATTAACTGCATTGAAATTTGATAAATCCTAAATTCACTCACAGGTTAAATGTTTAACACTTAAGTTATTAATATCTGAAGAATATTTAAGAATGAAAACTAATAATTTGAAAATTAAAATGGAGGAATTTGATAGATTAAAAGCAGATCGAAAGATGTCTTTTCCTCACGTTTTATATTTTTAAGAAGCATCAGCTATCAAGTTACGCAGATTTTTTTTTGAAAAGTAAACTTGCAGCCGGCAAATAATGCAGTCACAGGAAATAAAACCCTACAAGATGTGGTTCTGGATTCAAACTATTGAAAACATTAATTATGAAAATGGTATAAACAGTAAAAATAAACTTTAGATAAATTATTGTAGTAATTAAAGAAATTCAGTTTTCAATCCAAGGTAAACACAAAACTCGATTGCGAAGTATCTCGGTTGGCTGATTCATTCTTGCACTGAGTTCTACAATGTTTGCCAATTGCGATACTTGCCCTTTTGTTTTCGAAACACTCCCTTAAGCTAAAGCTGAGGGGTGTCCTACCTGGAAAATAGCGTCGCCATGAGATTGCACCACTTAAGCAAGTTGGAAAAACTAATGAAAAAGTGCCGCATATATTTCTATAAAATGTTTGGAAGCAAATGAGAAATTTGAAGGTTAATAAAATTTTCCGTTATATAGAAACTAAGCTTTTTTTTTTTTCTTTCCCGTATGAGAGTGTAATTTGATATTAAAAAAGGATCCAGTAAGTTTCGTTTGCACTCCCCCTCTAAAAACCGTATAAATCTCAATATTCTTTGGTACTTCTTTGTAATTTATAAAATGTCTGACTACCTTCTGTTTTCACATTGTAAGTTTTTCTGAACCTGGATTCGTAGCCGTTCCCCATATGTAATTTGAATTTCTTTTATAAAATGCTCCAAGAAAGTATCCCTTGTCTTAAGCAGATAACCTTCGAGTATTTTATCTTAATTTGTGTTTATCGAATATTTTGACTTAAATTTTCTTGGTTGCCTAGAAAAACCTCAAAAGTAAGCACCAAAGATGAAAATAAACTGTAAATTAGCTCAGAAAACTTATATTCAAAAGAATCTTTTGCCGAATGAAAGAAAAATTCTGCTAATTGTCATTGTATATGGTTGTACAAGACGGAAAAGCCATGCTGGAAGAGGCCCACCAGCGGCCGAGCGGTAAAGTCGCTGAACACTGGTAGTTCGGTCCGAGGTTCGAATCCCGTGAACGGGCCGGCTGCATGTGCGTTTTCGTGATTTTTCCAATGTGTAACGTGTAATACGTCGTTTCTCTTAGATCCTCCACGAAGGATCCCTCCCCAGGTAATAGCTTTAGTGTACTTTGCCATATTAAATAACCCAAGGTACTTTTCCGTTTTGCCGGCCAAACATAAGTGCCAATAATGGTTAACTGATGCAAAGGAAATCTCGCTGGTAACCTTTACGCCTCAGTTTCAAAACAAGTTGCAGCATTTCTTATCAGTTGTTTCTTTCAATACTGGCATACAAATATAGAATTTTTACGCGATATTTAAATTTTATCCCTCTAAGACAATTCCGGTATTAAGTCAATTAGACGCAATGACACCGCTCACAAGGCCACTCGAATCAGTGTGAAACTCAGCAATTCTAAAGAAAGCATTAGCGAAGAAAGCACTGCGTTTACATAATTTCTGAGTAAGCTATTCGTACGATTGAAATAATTCTTGCATTTAAACTTGTATTCCAAATTAAGATTTAACTTGAAATTAATGTAGATAATTACTGAGAGAATTAGACTTGTAGCGTAGTTTACGTGACATGGATCACTTGGGGTCACGTGATACGAACCGGCGATCAGGATTTGAACCAGAAATCATGTAAATTCTTATGTCTTTTTACAAATTTATTGTCTTATTTTGGCTTTTACAAAATTTGGAACCATATTAAAATATTTATGCCTTCAAAATAAAAAAAAAAAAATTCTTAGAATTAGCATTTTTTATGTGCATACTGTATGTTGTCGCCAACAAAGTCTGCTTGGCGAGATTTGCGCCGGCGAAACGGAAAAGTACAAAACCAAACCAGCCATGCTGGAAGATAATCACATTTGTCATGAATAAGTGTTTTATATCAGTTCGAATGCCCGTTCCATGAATAACGTTTTCATTTTTTACCCTGAGTACATGCAGGGAACATTTTTATTGCATTGGCAGAAACTGGAATTTCAACTTGGATCAATTTCGCAGGAAGAAAACGTATGATTTTTTTTTTTTACGCTTTTATGAATTTTGTATCTGATGGTCAAATGTTTAAAACACTTTAAGGGGTAGTTATAAAAAGCTTGTCAGAAAGTTCGATAATATTCTTAGAATATTCTATACGATAGTAGATAAGAGTTACAAAAATGCCACTGGAGAGGATTTATTGCCAAAAAATTTCTTGGCGCCAAACAAATTATCGCTAAGGAAATATAAGTAGTTATAACTGAAAAGTGCTTCTAACAGCTAACCAACCAACCAACCATTCCATCCATTATATTTTTTATTTTTTCCCTATCACTTAGAACTAAATATTTCCTTTTAAGAATATTTTCCTATTTGTGTATGGATTAAAATCTGCCCGATCGAGAGCTTATTGTACCTGCCATTCTTTGTCGCAAGATAATTGCGTAACTATGCAATTTTTAGGAAAGTGTTGCACATTTAAATAACATCAATGCACACATTGATATTACTTAGATTAACGAGCACTAAAATCTGAAACAAAGTTATTACAAGTTTTTACTTACATGAAAATGATTGTGCATATTTTTAATATTTTAATATAGCACGGTAACCTGCGTAGCAATCATCCATACGTAATAGAATATTAACATGTTTTATTTGCAAACTTTTTAAGTTTGTTTATTTTAATACTTCGTTATTAATATACCTCAATTCTGTGGCTTTTTTGTCTTGTACTGGTAGCTGTTAGATTTTCTAATAATATGCAGAAAAATTTCTCAATATATAAGTTCAAATCCCCATCTCATTATTCCTGGAATTTGGTGCATGCCGGAATTCTCTTCTAAACGTTTGCGAACAATTTTTTTACTAACTTCATCACTTAAATTTTACGAGTCGCTTTCTGATCGGCTCTTTTGAGGAATACACTCCAATTCTAAGTACTTCCGTTATTGTGTAGAATAAAAGTTAACCCTTTAGTCCCATACTTGTATATAAACCTATTCATTGTTGACAAGTTAACATGCTTCTAACTATGCTAATATTCCGATTTCAGAATGCGTTCTGAGGCCAGAGATAACTTGGAAATTTATCTCAATTTAATGTTTTTTTACATATATAGTGTAATATTTTAATAATTGTAGTGAAGAGTAGCATTCTAATTTCTAAGGAATTTTATGACTGGAACATACGTAGAATCAATGGAATTTAATAATGATGCGCAAACACTTATACAAGATTTCAGACCAAATTGAAAAAATCCAGAATAATTTCAAACCAAATTTAAAAAAAAAATTCTGCAAATTTTATAAAGTACAAGCGTACATTCTAGAAGTCTGAATAAATCGAATTTAAGAATTAAATTACATAAGCGATTTTTATTGAAATTCTTGGGATTCAAATACAGATATTAATTACGCTTATGTATTATCCCTATAATGGTCAAATTTAAGATAACGAAAAATGTACGGATGAAACAAAACAGTGTCAATTAATGTTACTCTTCTGTACTAATTTTTTTAAGTCTTGATATTTGTCTTAAAACATTCAGATGTTGCACTTTGTTTCAGATGGAAGCTGTTACAAGGTGCATCCCCTACTTGCAGTGCTTCAGACGATTAACAGATTTCATTCGTAGCTGGTGGCTTTTACTCATATCTTTATTCATGGGTGTAAGTATGTTTCTATGTATGAATCAATTCTCTAATTACATGAAATTTTTTTAATTTGATGGTGGAAATAATGTTTCATTCATTTTAATGTTGATTTTTAATTAAACATTAAGTTATTAAAGTATAGTACTTGATTCTGAAATAGTTTACAAACTGTAATAAGAAAACTGGAAACGAAGTGTAACTTCCTGTTTTGGTGGCTATTCGTTTCAACCAGGCTTACCTGTGGCCTAGTGGATAAGACCGTTAAACATTATTAGCAGCCGGACTTCTCGAATGACTGGTGAATGGATTAATTGCATTGAGGTTTTGTTTTGCTCATACGTAATAAAAATATAGGCCCATTTTTTCCAAAGTCTTTAGTGGAGATATCTCTTCTTTAGGGTAAAAGCCTCGTTTGCTTTAACTTAAACAATAACCCGAATACTCAACTTTTCAACCGGGTAATAGTTTATGAACTTGCAATAGAATGTATAATGTTGCCATGGAAATAAATGTTTGCCATGAATTCATTTTGCCTTGAAATTTGCTGTATTTCTTTCATATAACATATGAAGCGCATGGGTGACAGGTGTCCTTCAATGAAATTTTGTCGCAAGTTTGGGTGGTGTGTGTTGATTTTCAGAGTCGTGCTTTTCCAGTAGCTGAACGTTAACTATTGATGTTTGTTGTGTCACAAAAATTATTTTCCTTATTCTAGAAGCACACTGGGAGCGTGGATGACAGCGATCATCCACAGGCCTAATTATGCAGTACAAACATACGCGTCTAAGCAGGATATTTTAACGCCTAATGCAAAAAATGCGGCTCACCTCTTAAGATACATTATCTATTTTCTTGCAGTCTAATTTAATACAAAGAATAAAGGTATACAGATGTCTAACCGCAAAATGAGGCGATTTTTTTTTTTCAGTTAAAATTTTATGTAAAAGTAATATGTCGCATATACTAGCACTATTTGAGCAACACTTCTTGAATACCGCTTCAGTCACATAAATTTTCATAAACAATTAACAAGTTTCAAAACCTTACTAAAGATCTGCTTTTGATTAAAGATATAAATTTAAGAACTTCTGGACCCTTTAAAATCTAAAAATAAGCATTTTATAAAGAACATATTACATATTTCGTTAAATAATAGAATACATAAAGGAAAGAATGTTTTAAAGTACTTCTTGGGAGAAAATATATTTAATACTATGATTTTCTATTATGTATTGCGTATGTGTAGAAACTGTATTGTAGGTTTCCTCACTAATACGCGATTTTAACTATTCGCTGTCTGACAGGCTAACACCAGTCATTGTTCTCATGGAACATGTTGTCTCTACCAGATATTTTCGTGGACGTTGGCAGTTTCTTGCTCCATATAACAGTAAGGTTGGAAAATTTTTAAGTACGATCTTAACAGTAGCCACGCTTTAAAAGCCGTTGATGAACCAACGACAGGCTAATTCAACTCAGGTTTCATCGGTTGGTATCTGATTGGATCGACTGCATAAAGTTTTCATGGTTTTATCATGTAAAATACAGATAAGAATGAATTGTTATTAAAAAGTCTTCAGAAATATTTCTGATGTTAGTTATAGTGTCGGCTCTCCATGAAAATTGTTTCATTTCCTATAACTTAGGCAATTGACATGACTACGAAAAACTATTTAACTTTGCAATAAAATTGCCCGTTTGCTAATTTAACTTCTTAAAATTTTCAAAGATTATTCACGCATATTTCCAAACTTTCGACTTTACTGAAGTACTGAGCTTTGATTTTTTCCTTGTTAAAGACAGCTTATTTTGTCGAGGCATTGTTATATTATTATTACTACTATTATCTAACAGATATTTCTTTTAAACATTTCAATCAGTTTACATAATTTTAGCGTCATCTAATTACAATGAGGTAATAAAGAATATTTCATCAACCCTACAGGTACAAGCAACTAAGAATTTACAAAAGTGCGCATCATGTCAGTTCGCCTATACGAAAAATCTGCATTATTATCTTTTTTTAGTTACGAGCAATGTTCAAAGGAAAATACTGTTACGAATTTGGTATTTAAAAAGCTAATGTTAGTTCAATTATAAATTAAATGGTTTTATTTCTCGCGCAGTGCAGCGCGTGACGAATATTAAAAGAAAGCTAAGCCGGAAAAATTAAAAATACAAGAGCGCGTGCGTTAAATAAATAAATATCTCTTTTTGATTTCGAGAAAGTGCTGGAAAATTCTAGCGCGTGATTTTAAAATCTTAAAAAGGAGGAAAACATCTCAGTTTGTAGTTAGTTTTGCTTAGTTTGTTGTTGTTTTTAGAAAACTACTGTTGTTGATTGTAGCGAATTCGCGGATTAGCGTTCTTTAGCTGTTTGAATTACGTTCTATTGACATTTGTTAAAAGAAAACTACTGTGAGATATTGTAATACTGCATGATAATTTGAGAAAATTTAAGCATTTTTATTTATTCTGTGGATAATAATAAATTTTTGTTCATTTTTCATCGGACTTGTGGCATTCAATTTCATAACGAACCCGTACGCACGCAACACTTTTTGGTGTCAGGAGTGGGATTTTGAATGCCAATTACACAGAGCGATGGAAGAACAATTCAGACAATTGATGGCTGCATTTGCTGCATTCCAAGAAAAGATGGAAGAGGCCGTCAACTCTGTTAAAGGAAGAAATGAAATTGGGCCAGGAATACGTTAAAGAAAAGATTAAAGCAGGTCAAGAAGAAATGAAATTGCCAGTAATCCGTAAGACGAATGAAAGCCTTCAAGCTGGTCAGAGAAATGAAAGAGAAATTACTTGCATAATAGAAAATAAATTTGAAGCTATGGAAGGCAGAATTGACGCAGTTGAAAATAAAAGTTGGACATATTGAAGAAAGAGTTTTCTTCGGTGAAAGAAGAAATAGAAGAAAGAGTTTCTTCTGTAAAAGAACAAATTGATGAAGAGGTTTCTGCAGTTGCCAAAGAATGGATACTTTAAAGAATTCGTAGCGTCGGCAGGGAGCAGGAGTGATGATTTTAAATTCTTACCATGCCTACTCGTCCACCTCTGAAGCTATCCACATATGATGGGAAGACCTCCTGGCAGGTGTATACGACCAATTTTCTATCGTGGCGGATGCGAATGGATGGGATTCCCAAGCTAAGGCCTGTCATCTCGCCGCTTCTTTCTAAGAGCCGACGCAGCGGATATCCTTCAGACTCTTCCCGAAAACAAAGGTTAGATTTCGAAGCTCTGTCCGGCGCTTTGGAGCTGCGCTTTGGGGAGAATTGTTTAAAAGACTACAGCAGGCTCCAATTAAAATCTCGTCAACAGAAGCCTACCGAAACACTTCAGGAGCTCGCCGCGGATGTCGAAAGGCTGTCCCATCTCGCCTTTTCGGAATGCCCGACAGAAACAAGGAAATCCTGTCCTTGCAATACTTTATCGACGGCATTCGAGATACTGAAATACAGAAAGCTCTACGAATGGCGGATGTAAAGATTTAAAAAGTGCTCTCGTGTACGCCATGAAATTTGAGGCAGCCCAGCAAGCCAACTCGTCGAGACCGCTACCCAGTTAGAGCTGTGTGCGAGTCCATGAGCCAGTGGATCAACTGATGGCTCGTTTAGATGATTTAGCCAGACAAGTCAAAGATTTGATACAGAGTAGGAGCGAGAAGAAAGTGGCTCTAAGGTGTTGGGAGATGTGGTATGAAGGTCACCTAAGACGGATTGCAGAACACCCCAGGGTACGGATATAAGCATATGATTTTACCAGACAAGTCAGTGGCTTGAGACGGAACATAAGTGAAAAAGAAACTAATTCTAAAGTGCTCGAACTGCGGAGTTGAAGGCCACATACGCAGAAACTGCAAACACCCCGAGGTACGGAAAATAAGACCATTTCCCAGCAACAACGCAGCAAACAAATTAGTGACCATATCGAGGAACGGAGGTTGCCAGATAGTGAAAACCTTGTTTTAAAGCTCTTAAATTTTATAGTGAGTGGCAACAATAACGGACTGTCCATCAATGGGAATATCGATGGAGTTCCTTGCAGTATGATCATTGACACAGGAGCTAATGTTACCATCATTAGGAAGATTTAGCTGAACAGTTTAAAGATAAACTTATTTGGACGCCATCCTGTGTTACCCTTCAGACTGCGTCTGGTGACAAGATCGACATAACTGGGAAGTTAAACGTAAACATCACGTTTGGAAGTGCCGCCTACCATCACACGGCATATGTGGCGGATATTACAGATCCATGCATACTCGGATTGGACTTTTTAAGGAAATACAATTTTTCCTTAGACTTGAAAAACAACAAATTGCTTTCAGGATCTAAAGACATGACTATCCATCCTAAGAAGGGATCCTCACCTGGAAATGCCGACGCTTTGTCCGAAAGAACCAGCTCGAGAAACAGCCGAAATCATGCTAGGGTCGAAAAGAAACACCAGACTACCAGCTATTCGCCATCTCAGATGCTCTTCGGTCGAGACCTTCGTCTGCCTTGTGACCGCCTGTTTCATCGCCGTACGGATGCGCCTTCGTCGCCTGAGGAACACATCCAAGATGTCAAGGCCCGTTTTGAAGTGATGCACCGTTCCGCACGAAAGCGAGTGAACTTGGCGACGGAGAAAGTGGAGACCAGATACAACACGAGAGCTGCTGGACATAGATCCAAACGAAGGAGACAAGGTATGGGGTTGTGGAACCCGATTCGACGAAAAGGAGTCAGGCCTGATTTACAGTCACCTTGGGATGGTTCGCACACAATCCTAAACAGGCTAATGACGTCATGGTTCGGATCCGTGAGTCTTCAAACTCTTACGACAGGTTAGCTCATTACTATGGCCATAGTACGTAATGTAAATAATTGTAAATAGTATCAGACCATGGTCTTTTTTTGTTTATAAATGTGTATTTGATTTGATTTGTATTTAGTATTTGATTTGTATTAGTATTGATTTGTATTTATATTTTATTTGTATTTGTTTGTAGTTTA